AATGGGCCTGGGTCAAGCTCCTTTTCTCCACGGGGCCAGCCTTCCCCCTGTATTTCTCTGCATGGCTGGGTGGTGCTTGCTGTGCCCACCCTGGGGGCCAGATCTGACCCACAAATTGACTAGGCAGTATCCATCCAGTCCACCAGGCAAAAAAGTTGGGCACCACTTACCTACAGTGTTTAGATAGTGAAGAAGTGGCTTGGACTATCAGACTGGCAGGGTGTCAAACATGGCCCGCAGATTGGATCTGGCCCATGGAGGTGGGCCATCCAGCCCACAGTGCCTTTCTCTGGCTGCCAGCAACCAATGAGTTAATGCTTTGCCACTTATTCCCTGGGCACTAGCCATAGTGATGGGGCTTAAATGTGGCTGCCAAACTGAGTGTTTTCAGTTGCTTGTGACAACTAAAATCTGGAGCTTTTGCATGCTGGCTGCACTGGCACTGCAAGCTCCAGCAGCCATAGTGATGGGATTGACTGGCAAAGCGTAAACTTTTTGGCTGCTGCTAATACTGCAGTGCTGGTAACTGGTAGTAAGAAGCACTGTAGGCTGAAGTTGGCCCTTGGGCTAAAGGATTTACTTCTTGTTTAGGAAGGTATTTGGGTAATGGCTTATACGAGTAAAGAGGGCAAAGTGTGAAGCAGTGAACTTTTTTTTTTTTTTAAACTACACTGATCTGACATGTAAACACAGTTGACTTTCAGAGCACTTCTAGCTTGACTTTATCATACACTGTTTCAGTATCAATATCTTTCTTGTATGTAGTTAGGATGACCAATACTGTCATACTTACTCCAGTTGCATCTCTTGTAGCATTTGAAGCATGAAATAAAACTGGACAATGGGGTATTCACGCCTCCAGCTCCAGTAACAAGAGGAGTAGCATCAAAGAACTGTGAAAACAAAGAGAATTTTGATGCAGAGTCTGCTTTAATGAATGAAAACATCTTCACGTTTCCTGTTCTGAAGATGTCGGCTTGTAGCAGTCAGAATGAGAAAAGGATACGAACACCACCAAATCAAACCTTCAAAGGTTTGTCTTATGCCACTAGTGGAAATCTAGTATTGAATAATTTACACAAAGAAAGCTACTTTCAAAATGTGCAAACTCTTTAAGCATTTAGAACTGCAGAAGTTCCTAAAGAGGCTTGCTTTATCTTTTAATCCTAAATATGTATTATTCACAATGTACACTTAATGTCAGTTTACCTTGTCCTTGCTATAGGAGGTTAAATCATACACATGATCTGATCCTTCAAGAGGCTGAGAAGCAATGGCCATGTTTTAGCATGAATGTTAGTCACAGAAATCGCCTCCTTCTAGTGCCTTTTACACAAATGTGCATGTCTTTCAATGTACTTGGGTTTTTTTATGGAAACTTTCTTGTAGCCCCCCACCCCTGAAATCTCATTCCTCTGTCCAGTCTTTTTTTTTTTCTTCTTGGGCAACCTAGGAATGTGGACAAGATCAGAAAAGAAGGAAGTCCACTTGCTCTTCCCTGCTAGCCCCAAACTGAGAATGGAGGGGGGAAAAAAGCAAGCATGTATGTTGTCCATATTCTCCAAGTACATGGATTTGGACAGGATGATTCCACTTCTCTTATGATTGCTATGTTGAAGTCTCAAGTGGTATGGCTGGCTCAGTTCTGCAGCAAAATGAAACTTTTTAAGCAGTGTAGCTACATTAGCATAGTGTTCCACCTGGACTAATGCTGAGCTTCTTGTTTGGGCTAATTAGCATATGCACTGATATGCTTTGTGACTCAGGCAGTGTACCTTTAAGGGCTTGAGCAGGCTGCAGCCCAGCCTGCAGGTGGGAGCAGACCCAATCAGGTGGTCACATGGCAGTCAGTAGGCTTCTGGAATGGTGGAGGGCTGGGCAGCCTGGGTATAAGATAAGGCCCTGAGAGCAGAGCAGGCAGTTGCCCCAGGGATGCTGCTGAAATAATATCTCCCAGCCAGAGGAGTTTCCTCCCAGAACTTCAGGAGGTCAGGGTAGGAGCTTTGGGGAAGGGGGAAGTTTCTAGGGACCCAGGTGGGATTCAGAGCCCTTAGCAGGGGGCAGAAGCCTTGGGGTTGTAGGAAAACCCAGCCAGAATGAGGGGCTATGTAGACAGGCCCAAGTGGGAGGCCAGGATGGCCTATTGAGAGAGGCTAGCTAGACTTGGGGGGCAGTGAAGATGGGCCAGCCTGAGCAAAAGGGTCTTTGAGTTTATGGGCCTATGGAAGGGCTAGGTTAGCCCCTGATTAGAACTGTTGAAAGCATGGGTGACTGAGGAAAGGCCTGAGAACCTAGGGAGTTGAGCTGACCCTGGAGAGGTCTGTGGAGGGGCTCAAATGAGCCCAGTGCAGTAAAGGGCTGCTTTGTACTAGATCTGTGGGGCTCTAGGCAAGCCTGGTGTGAGACGAATGATTTATGGAGGGGCCCAGGGGGGACCCCTGTTGAGTGAAAGTCAGCTGTTTGTAGATTGACCAAGGGCTCTTGAGGCGCAGGCCAAGGTGGCAGAGAGCACGTGCACTCCAGCTGGCCAGAGAGTAAGGCCAGGCTTGAGTGAAGGTCTCAAGGGAGAGGCCACCGACAGGAGAGCAAGGGGGTTGGTCAGCAAGCAGTCTGGAATGACAGTGGCTGAAACTCCTCCATCTGATGAGGGAGGTATCCTGCAAAGGGCCTGAGAGATGGGGCCAATGACTGAGGGTTGTGTTATGAGGTGGAGGCTGGGACAGAGTGCCCAGGAGCCCAGAGCAGAGACCAGGGTGGGTGGGCAGGCCTGCAGTGGGTCCTGGGCAATGACCCTAATTCTATACCCTGCTGGGATTGGATGGTGTAGTTGGGCTGCCTGTAATGGGGCAGTTTCCAGGAAATGCCACACCTGTGCCTCCCTAATGAAAGGCGAGGATGGGGCACTGGAAAGCCTTGTGGGTGACCCTGTGGAAAGGAAAGGCTAGAGGAACACACCCTGAGAGAGAAGCACCAAGATTAGGCAATATGCCATGGGGGCCAGGAGGACCCGATGCCCAAAGCCTGAGAGAGGAGGGCTTATGGGCAACTGCACAGAGGCCGGGGGGCCTGAGGCCTAGTGGGAAGCCTGAATACAAGGGAGGAACAGGAAGGTTGACAGACATCTGAGGCCCAGGAGCCCCGATGAGGGGGCAGTGTGTGAGGGGCAAGGAGCCCAGAGTGTGTATGAATAGAGGCCCCAGAAAGGGCACATGTAGCCCAGGCATGCATAAGGACACCTGAGGCCAAGTTTGGGCCAGTGGCAGAGTGCAGCCCAGCAATGGGGTCCAGACAGTCGGAAGTGACTCTTTTGGATGCCATCTCTAGGTCATGGGACATGGTGAAGGGGAGGTCTCAGCTGTGTATTGCCCCCTTGGCATCAAGGCATAAAATGGGCAGCCTCCTGCCTAGAAACAACTTTTTTTTTTTTTTAGTTGCAACAAAGCTGTAGTAGGCAAGTCAGGTAGACGGACTGCTCTAAACAGCTGGCCATGCCAACATTGTGATCGGCCCTGGGATCTGCTTCTCTGCCCAGTACTGTTTATTTCATGTAGACATATCTTACACCTACATAAGCTACTCCATGGTAACTTTCCATGTGCTTGCTTTTAATTTGTGGAAGTTGCCCTATTTTGTTTCACAGTAACTTGGTCATGTGCCTGTACCTTTAAACCTTGAGGGGGGGGCGTTTCTTAAGAAGCTTTTTGCTCCTTTTAGCTCAGGTGGCCTGTGTGAGTGGTCTTTAATCCATTTTACCTAATCAGCAGAACTCTCACCAGAATCCCAGTCCCTGACACCTATGCAGTTGAATGCCATTATAAGGTTATGCATGCAGCTGAGTTAGATCTGTCCTGCAGAACGTACCATTGTCATGAAAGTGTGATTAAAAAACAAGTGGTTTCCCTTTTTGGAGGTCAGGCTGAGTTTATAGTTTTAGGCTTTACTTATGCTTTAGTAAACCTAGAACTTTTATATTTGGCTTAGCCTGTTTAAGCATAATGGTCTTGAGAATCAGAAGTTTTACTTCAAAACTTGGATTGCTAAATCAAATTGAGGCACAGTAGTTTACTGAAACACTTGAATTGCCTAGTGATTAAACAGCCACTTAACTAGACCAAGTGACTGATTAGACTATAACCTAAAACCACCAGTGGTGATCTTGAAAGATTGTTTTAGGGTAGTGATAGTAATCCTGGACTACTGCCAGACCTGCAGGACATGTTGCAGAAGTGAGGGAGTCTGAGTAAGGTGTACAAACTGGCAAGCCAAAAACTGATACCTGTAAAGATGAGAGTAATTCTCAACAGCCCTGTAATGTTAATACACTAAATGTTATTTACTTAAAAAAAAGAAAAAGAAAAAAAAAAAGGTAGTTAAACTGGCCAAAATGACTTCTCTAAGGCTGTATACCAAGTCAATAACTAAGTTGGGACTGAAAGCTTTTTCTGAGTTCTGTGCTCTAACCACTAAATATACTGCTTGCCATGAGCCTTAGGAATTTAGGGTGCTGGCAGATGTGGGGGGGAAGATATGCACTCTATTGGAAGCAGTGGCACATACTTCAACTTGGCTCCACAGCATCTATAGAGATTGGGTGCTTCAGCAGGGCTCTGGTGCTTTTAGCTAAAGCTGATTCAGTCAGCTATTGGATAAAAGTGCCAAAAAAGCCCCACTAAAGTGCCCTGTCTCTACAGACTTTGGGAAAGCTGGGTGGAACAAATGTGCTACCTCTTCTGGGCATGCTCTAGGCTTGGCATGGGAGTACACAGTTTAAAGTAAAGCACTGTCTACAAGCAGCCTTAATGCTCTGACTACTCCTTCATTGTCTGAATCCTGCAAGCATTTAGTACTAGTGTTTTGCAGTTAATTTAGAATAACAACTTTAGTTTTATTAAGGTTACTGAGGTGGGAGGAGAAGGGGAATTGGTAGGAAATGCAAGATGACTAATCATGACAATTTCTTGTTGAGGAAAATCCTCCCCCTCAAAAATCTTACCTAATTTGGGTTGGGTGCCTTTTTATCCCCCAGAGAGTCAGTGCACTAAAGAGACCCCAATTAAGAAACAGACAAACCCAGCAAATACAGATGAATTGGCAGCAGCAGTCATTAGCCCTGAGAGACGGTAAGTGCCCAGTTATTCATTCCTGTTTCTGACTTAAAACAGGACTAGTCTAATCCCTGTACAGACCAGGAAGGCTTGTTATACTAGCACCTACAATTTCATTGTCTTAGTAAAAACCTCCTTAACCTTTTTCCACAGTCACTAGAAAATATTAAAGGCAAAAGGAAGTTTAAAATTACACACCTCAATAGTCTTGGATATATTCCTATTTTCCTTAATTACAAATTCACTCTTGCTCCAGTTCCCCAGAGGGTAGCTGTTTCTATACACAATTTCCTGTTTAAATCTCAAATGACTAGAACAACAATTCTCATGTAGTGTCTTAGATGCTGTTTAGCTACAATGTTTCACTTGTGTGTAGGGTTTTTTTTTTAATGCATCTAGGATCTGGTCACATTTTAGCAGTGTTTTAATTTTTTTTAAATGACTAACTTCCACCCATTTAAAAGATGGAAGCACTCATCATTTAAACTGTAAATGTGGCAGGTGTCGCTCAGTAGAACTGGATCTTAATCAAGCTCATGTGGACAGCAGTCAAAAGAAAAAAAGAGCTAAAATGTTTGGAAGCCTTGAAAGAGGTCTGGATAAAGTGATCACAATGCTTACACCAAGCAAAAAGAAACAATCCATAAGAGATGGGCCAAGGAAACTGAAGGTAAAACTTGTTAGGAAATTACCACTTAAATTAAATAAAAATCCAGTGACTTCAGAAATAGAGCAGTGAAGTCTTCAGTGGTTTGGACAGCATTCACTCTGCTACAAAGTGCAGGTGTCTTACTGCATTGCTCCAAATCTGAAAATGCTCCACTTATTGCCAAGAGTCTGTGCCAGTTGTGACAACTGTTTCTGAAACTGTTGGCTGCCTGGCAATTGCTGCAGTTTTTACTTTTTTTTTTTTCTCCCAGGTGATCTGTAACTTAATAGGGGAATAAAGCAGCAGTTAAGCACCTGCATGGAATTTTGTTCTTGTGGTCAAAAATACCCTTTTGCTAACAGTGGGCTAGCAGAGCTAGAAAGCAGTGACTCCAAGGTGGTATAAATGCAACTTGTCTTTGATTATTAATTGCTTTATTAGAGATGCCAATTCCATCTAAGCTGCTTTAACCTTTGAGGGGGTATGTTAGCCTTGAATGATATTTCAGGAAGCTAAACTTTAATGGCAATAACCAAGGCCTTTGGAATCAAGAGAAATCTGGGCTTTTCTCTTTTTTTTTGAGAGAGATGTCTATATCCTGCCAAATGTTGGTTAGTACTTGAGGATCTTATCAAATGTCTTACCATAAGTATCTAGTGTATTAGGATTAGGTAGTGTTTTTGGCTGCTGACAGATATGGTGGGGACAGAATCCATTGGCTTACCTGAAGAGGCATTGTCAGTTTGACCCAGTTTACTCAACATCTGTATAGATTACATGCTTCATCAGGGCTTTTTGGTGCTTTTAGCTAATAGCTGATTCAACTGGCTATTGGATACAAGCCCCACTGAGGCATGTAATCTATACAGGCATTGGGTGAGCTAGGTCAAACTGAAGCAATGCCTCTGGGCATGCAGTGCACTTCATGTGGGGGCACACAAAGCTGACAGTAAAGCACTGGGTTGTGGTGTTTGTGGGTAGTGTATTCACACCCGTAAGCAGCCTTTGAGTCCAAATAAGAAGCCTGCCACCCCACATCTGCAGGAATCACCTATCTGATTTGTCTGCCCAAAATGGTATTGATAGCCTGTGTTTTGGCTCTCGTGAGTGTCCAGGCCGAAAACAGTAGAAGGATGAAGACCAGAACAGCATTTACGTTATAAATCTTAACGTATTGCTGAGATTCGCCACAAGCCTTCAAGATGTATATGGTGTGAGATTACTTGGTATTTTCTATTAATACTTACAGAAAATTCTTTCTGACTTGTTTAGTAAGACCTTTAGCATATTGTGGCATGCAATGAAATGCATATTAAAGCACTAATATAGTGTTCTTGTGACACCTCTTAATCCTTTAGATTACCTATAAGAATATGGCTATATCCTACAAAATTATTGTAATGCCAATACATCTCAGTGTGCAGTGTTAAGATGCTTTAAATGCACTAAATTAATGACTTGTACACAACTGCCATGAAATGGAACACCTTTCAAAGTGTTCTCTTGCAATCTAAAAAAAAAAAATTAAAAAAAATACTTATACCAGTCTTCATCTAGGCAGAGTCTGTGGAGCTAGCAGTTAAAACTGATAGAGACATGGCTTTTAATGCCTAAAATAATTCTACAAGATGTACATCTTCAATGGTCTAGGTCCTTGAGCTATTATTGTTGGGACACCTGCTGAGTGTAAAAGCTGCTTATTGGTAAGAAAACAGTTATGTCAATTAGGACTATAATACATGCAGCTCTGCCATCTTGTAGTCCAAAAAAAACTTTTTGCCAAATGACATCTGTAGTACTGCCAATCTCCCTCTTACATATCCAGCACATATTGGGCTACAGGCTGGACCTATCCAAGTTGAAGCTGTGCTAGGAATGAGAAACTTGGGAAATAGCAGGCAAGCAGGTTCCAGATCTGCTGTGCTCTGAAAGGCTTCTGGACTTCTGTATCTGTTTCCAAGGTCCACGGTATCTACAACATTGCTATTTCATTTCTAAATGCCTTGAAACAAATGCAAGAGATTTTAAAGTTCCTGGTGAAGCTCTGACAAAAACGTGCATATATTGGCTTGAACTGAGGCATCCAGAGGAAATCTAGTTGTATTTTTAGTCTTTTTTTCTTCCTTAGAAGAGTGGCTTTTGATTTGTACGTCCCAGAAATAGATCTTTTGAAAACCAGGCAAAGCACCTATGCAGCACTTTGCAGTTAGTCCACAGTATTTGCCTACAAGTTTTCATGTTTAATGTGTGACCACCTGAAAGATGCTTTGGGTATCCCATTTTAAATGTGACTTCTAAAACAATTTCCTTTTATGTACAGTAGTAAAAATGTAATCTTAACCATTTTAAAACTTGATAGGTAGAATTCTGACACCCACCCACGCATGGCATACTGCACAACTTGTAGCCCAGGAGAAGGGGTTATAGTTACCTTTTGTCTTCCCAATCCTAGTCTGCTTCAGGACTTGAATATGTGCCCTGTGTATTAAAGCATTGTAGCCTATTGGATTTCCACAAGAAGCTGGAACTGCTGCATACTGTGGCCAAGTCTTGGCATGACCACTGGAATTTGCAATAAGATCCTGGGAGGACAATTTTGTCAGTACTATAGCTTAACACAATGGAATCCTCCCCTGATTAGTTACAGGGTCCTCTAGTGCTCTGGTCCTCTTTACCCAGTGTAAAATGCACAGAATAGAATTAAGACCTCACCACCTTTGCTTCGCACCCGTTGTCAAGAATGTCCATTCTTCATACTTAAACTATGTCTGTGTGGCCCAAGGCTGCACCATGTTTCAGAATTTGAAACAGTATAACTTGTTTAGCTGTGTAATATGCTGGGTTTATTAGTTCTGGTACAGCACTGCTAACACAGCTTATCTAGATCCAGAGCTAGCATGTACAAAACTAGCTCAGGTATCTCCCTACATTGTCTACCATGTAGACTCTGGTATGTGAGCTAGCACGTTCACGCAAACTTAAGATATATCTCTGCACAGCAGTGTATTATGCCATGAAGACACACCTTAAGGTTCCTGTCCTGTTGCTAACTTCCAAGAATGAGATGTCATTGAAAATAAACATCTGCATTGGGTTTTTTTTTTGTTTTGTTTTGTTTTTTACTGCTTGATATGGAAAAAGTTCCACTGTAGCAACTTGCCCTGTGAATCCATGGTGTTGGAAATAAATATTAGGGACTCTTACTTTTCTGACATATTATATGTTTCTAGGCTCATTATAACGTGACCACTACTAAACTATTAAATCCAGACCAGCTGCTGAATGAAATAACTACCATCCTTCCAAAGAAACAGGTTGAATATGTGCAGAAGGGGTAAGTATAAAAATATATAAGACAAGACTTTTGGTTTTTGCATAAGCAGCTAGTGCTAGAGTCTATCCTCCTTTTATTTCTATCATACTGCCTTCTTAAAATACTCTATTCCATAAAGGACCCATATCCAGCCTCATAATCCACAATATTTCCCCATCTGGTTCAAATAAGATATTCCAAAATTTCTTTATTGTGCCACACATACTATCTTAGTTGAAGTAATGTGAACCCCAGTACATATGTATGTTACTCAAACACTTGAATAAATGTGACGGACTATCATGCCAAGATTTGTTCCCATTTCTGGTAAATGGTACTGGTTAAGAAATGTAAGATGTCTCCACTTTTAGTTTCCCAGCATTCGAACTGTGAATTACTGTATTTACTTGTAAATTGGAGACATTCAAGAGGAGATGGGTTCCCCCCCACCCCCTCCCCCCCAATCAGCATGGGGTAGGGGAGAGGAGCTAGTCTTAAATTCAATTACTGGCTTGGGGCAAGTGGCTGCTCAGTTCCAGCTTTGGCCCTTTGGTTCTGGGCTAAAGCTGGAGCTGAGCTGCCATCTGCCCCAGGCTGTAATTAGCTTGTTTGGTGGGGGCTGCAGCCTATACCCCAACTCCATACCCTCCACCCCTTTACTCCCCTTCTCTTTTTCCTCCCCCTTACCTTCTGGTCCCTCCAGCCCTAACCCTGCTGTGCCAGGAGCTGCTGCTGTTTCTCCCTGGCCAAGCCAGGGCTGTGCTTCTGAGTGCCCTGGAGTTGGTAGAAGGTATGATGGGGGAGGGGGGTAGGAACAGGCAGGGGGTGGAGGGAACAAGTTTGTGGTAGGGGAGGCAGGGGCTGGACTGAAGCTGTGCTGCTGCTTATCCCAGAAGAGCTGTGCTGCTCCAGAAGGTAAGGGGGTGGGGGCAGGCACAGGCAATGGGGAGCAGGCTGCAGAGGGGAGCAAGGGGGTTGGGGGAGACAGAGTTGGGGGACAAGGGCAGGGAGCAAGGACTCTCATTATCTTCTGCTTTCTTCACTGCCAAAATAGGGGGG